TATTTAATTAATTGCAAATATTTTCGATAAAAACAAGAGTAGCATCAATGGCAAAGCAAACACAAATCAATTACAATATCAACGGGCTGCCGTGATTATTCTGGAAATGATTGGTAATACGAAAAATTAATTAAAAAAGTCAATATATCACTCTGACAATTGGATGCCCCAAGCAGTGGAGACTGCCTATGAAAGGTATCGCAAATCATGCCCTAATCGAACAGTGGCTCCGATGACTTTCCACTGTATTCGCGGCTGTCCAAAACTAGTTTATAGCCAAATGGCTGTTTCGTAAATACGCATTCCAACAACAGCAACAAAGGGCCAGCACACAAAAAACCTATTTATGCAAATTAACCTTTGTCGTTTGCGGCATTCCATGGCATGGGGTTTCGATTCAATTGTTATTTTTTTTGTGATCGTTTGCATATTATTAGGCATTTATGATAACAGTTATTGTGGAATTTGATATGCCTGATTCATTCATAGATTACCCAATCGGATACAAAATACAAAACCGAACATGGATGCATACTTTTGAGAGCGTGTCGTTTTGTGTGTTTTGACCACGAAAGCTATGAACTTCAACTTTTCGTGCCGAAGGACGCCGCCATAGAAATGCAATCAAGTTAATTACGGAATATGCATTTTTCAAGTCAAACATGAACATGCAATTCTGTGATTGACGATAAATGGCCAATTAAACCAATTACGAGTGGTTGCCCTGTGGCAACCCAGTCCCGATGTCCTTTCGTCCCGTCGCGTGCAACATGTGTTACTTTGTAATAATTCGATTTAAACTAAATTTATCAAATTGTTTCTCCTAATTGAGTGCGCTAAATGATGAACGATGGACTGCTTCCATAATGAACAATTTTCCGTCTGATTTCACCTTACATTCCGCCTTTAATTAGTCGGCCAGCCCAGCTGGAAAATGGGTTGAAAAGAGTTTGTTCGTCCATCAGACCATCCGACACGCATGCAATTAATACAAATAGTTCATGGGGCATTTAATGATGTTCTGGCACCACGCGACTGCTTTACATTGCAATGCCGACAGGTAGCATAGTGTCTGGTGTCTCTCTGGTATTTAGAACTGGTGTTCTTTTGCCGCCAGAAAAGAAAGCAAGGACTACAAGGATGCAGGGGCGAGGCGGTGTCACTTTATAGTGCATAAATTATTCAATGAACCGCTTGCCAGGACAACCCAGAGTCGGAGACGACAAAAGAAGCTTTGCTGTCAGTTATAATTTCGCTCGCGTACCAGTTGCCACTGTCAGTGTGGTGGTGGTAATGGAAATGGTGGTTGAGTCCTTTAAACAGGCCAAAAAATATAGTTCTAAAAGTTGAAAAACTTTTCGACATTGCCCTTGAACAACTTTTAATATGTATTAACCTTTCCATTGAAACCATTTAAAGTAATTAGCTCCGCATATTTAATTTTCAAAAGTTACATTCGGTTACGAAAAACCTTGATGAAATTTTTCCCTGTGTAGCTGATGTTAGCGCTCAATTACGCCACCAGGGCTAACCCAGTTTTAAAGTTAAAGTTATTTTTGCAGCACACTTTTGTGCGCGCGCACATTTCAGCCATAAGTTAGACACTTGTTAGGTCGACATAGCATCGAGACTTGGCACCGCCGTCGATGACGAAACACTTTACACCCCTGAATAGTTAATACAAATTAGATGGCCCCGGGCAATTACTTGGCAACAAAATTTGCATGCGTTCCGCCATGTAATTTTGGTGGATCCTGCCGGGGAAGTCCGGGTCGGGGCTTTGATTTTGGACAACAGCAAAGAGCTCGGGCATTGCAAAGTTAAGCTGGCCAAAAGTTTTGCTGGTAATCTGTTTGGTTTCTTTACCATTCATGTTGTTGTTACGTTGTAGTTGCTGTTGTTGTTGGCAAGTTGCGGTTTACCCAAGTTCCGGTTTCCGATTTCAAGACCTCTTTTTGTGCTTGGCGGTATAAGAAATTCATGGTTTTGCACGTAGCCCTTGCGCCCACTTAAGTTGCTTTGCTTGTTCCAGCTAAGTGGGTTGATACGACTCGAATGTTCTCCTTCTGATTGGAAATCGGACTATTTTGTCCTGGCTTGGGGATGGAATTTTAGAGGGAAAATAGTTGTAATTGGAAAACTAGCTAAAGATTAACAGAGTGATTCTATCTTGAGAGGATGTCTCTAAAAGAATATCAAAAGATACATTATTCAAACCTGAAGATAATACTTTATTTTCTGCTAAAAACATTACTCAATAAGTTATTCAGGCACATTAAAAGAAGCTATATTTTGTAGAAGAATTTTGTGATTTAGCATCACTGATTCCGTTTTGGTTCCTTCCAAGCGAATCTATCATAAATTGCTAATAGGTTTTGTTGCGTTGGCGGCGACGCCTTCAGCTCGTTTGCCTGCTTTGGTAGAACAGAATTAGGCTGTGGTTTTGCGGCCCAGAGAGACATTAATTTTCCACAGCAGAGAAGGAAATACGGGAATGGAAATGCCGGCATCAGAAACAGCTCCAACAAAACTACATGACTTATCAATTAATTAAGCGCATTTCTCAAATTATCGCCTGGGGCATGGCAGAGCCCCTAAAGGCGGCTTTGCATGTCAGGGCCAAGTTAAGATATTCTGTAGTTTCTTTCGTTCGTAAAACGGAATTTAAAGTATCATGCCAGACAGCAGTTTCATAACGCGGCATCGCATCTTTTGCTATATATTTTGTATAGATATATTCCATATATTTCAGAGCAGTACACCGGGGCCCGCATTTCCGTCTGATTTGAATTGCTCGGCAAGTTTGTTATGTTTTGAACTTGAGCTTCCTGCCACGGCAGCTGAAGCTGTTGTTTCTAGCTGCCACCCACCCCACCATCTCCTTACCCTTCAAGAGCTTTCCGTATTCCCCCCTTTTCCGATTCTTGGCTTGTTGTCGCTACCGGTGCCAGCGTTTCCTGCGAAAAGTGCGCTGCATAAGGAATTTTATTAAGACAACTGTACACTTTAAAAGAATTTTCGAACAAGTTTCACTTTTTGGGGCAATTTTAATTAGTTTGGATAGCTCGAATTTGTGCTGAAATTAATTTCTTAACACTAGTTTATGTCATGTTTCATTCGTGTTTGGATACATAAAGTATTAACTGTCTTGGAAGGTGTCTAGGAAGTTTGTTAGTTTTCTTGTTGATTGTTGTTTGTTGCTTTAGAAGGTGTTCTAGGAAGGAATTTTTAGCCGTGTATCTGGGGCAGCAGCAGCGTTGTAACTTCAGCTCCGTTGATGATGCAGCTGCTCAGCTGCTGTCATCAGCCCGTTGGGCCAGCAGAGCTGTCGAAGGCTTATGCGGATGTTGTGCATTTGCTAAGAGTTTTGCCCTGCATTTGTTTGCTCTTCTGGCTTAACTGGCTTACTACCACCGATGCTCCTGGCAGGATGCGGAGCTGCGTTCCTGCCACTCGATATTGTTTAAGTTTTTGCAGGACAGCTCCAGCTCTTGTGCTTATGCCACTTAATGGCCACCAATAGATACCCTTTTCAACTACGCTACAACTTCGGTTCTGTGCTACCAACCAAAATTTTATATTTTAACGGGTGCAAATAAAATTGTTCTCAATTCGTAACCCATCATAAAAATTGCTTTTTGGGTACTCGTTTTAAGACCCATGCAGCGCATCCAAATGTCGTTGAGTGCTTTGTGGAATTTGCATGACAGTTGCCCATTTTCCTTATAGTTGCCAAGAGCTCTCGTTGCACAGAGGAAGCCGGAATGCCACACACTCACACCGGAGAAGATTGAAAGAGAAGCAAACACTCCCATAGAAAAGCAACTTTTTGCTGACACCTTGCTTTATCTCCAGGACTGCCTGCGGCATCCGTATCCTTGGCTCCTTCTCCTACATCGCCCGAACCCTGTGCACTTTAAGCTTAATATTATTTAAATACAATTTTGCTAAAATTCTATGGCATTTATTCTCGAATTTGCATAAGCAGAGAAGTTGGAGCCAAGGACGACTGTCATTCAAATGGAATAATTGCTTAAATAAGTTGAATTTAGCATGTTTAGCATACACATTGAAAAATGGCTCTGCTTTAGACTTTAATGGAACCATAAACTTAGCCATTCGACAATCGGTTTCGCCGCACTTTCGATGCCTTAAGGGTTACGACCCTGTATTATTTGCTTAAGTGTCTGCGAGCTGAGTATGCGATGTTGCACAGGTAATTGTGCTGTCATTTTGCATTTGTAATGAAGTTCCTTCATGCCCCCACATACGCACGCCCAAAGCCCATCCAGAAACAAGCCCGAGATAATTACTGGGGACAGAATCTGGAATTCAGAACCCTAAAGCCACAGAGCATGCCAGAGCAGAGCAGAACAGAGCCGAGTTCATTTGTATGCCGTTCAGGCTTCTTATCAAATATGAAGCAAAGTCGTAAAAGCTAATTAGACTCACAATGTGCGATACGGGCAGGCTGCTGCCGACGGCTGAATAATGCAAACTAATCAGCCCGTAATGCAGGAGAACCATTAGAAAGCGTTGCCTTGCCAATCAGCAGAAAAGCAAAAGAACTTTTACCCAGATCCCCCGTAATCCGGCACTTTTCTCTGCATTTTTGTGGCAACTCACAGCATTGCCCCAAAGCCATTCAGACTTGTGAACTTGGTCGTTCGGTTATCAATTACTCAGAGGATTCTGTTCAAAATGAAGACGACTCCGCCTCATGGCCTCATGTCCTCGTATTCCCGTATTCATTTCCCAGGATCCCAGTTCGGTATTGTATTGGAATCAGATGTGCGTGCCCGGAATTGTGGAAGCTTTATGGGGCAACAACTCATACCGCAGCCCTCCCGCCCTTGTCCAATTATTCGCCAGGGCTCTTGTTTTGCTTTTCACGTTTACACACATCAATCATAAAATGCAAATATTTACGATTTTATTTGTGTGCAAATTGCCATAGCACGCACATTAAACCCAGACTCCCGTCCGCTTTATATTCGCAGAAACAACAATAACCGCAAGTACCGGCGCCACATAAACGAGAACGCTTTGGGCATCATCCGCACCACCCTGAACAACGGTGGCTTCGGACCGCAGGCGCCCAACAACAACAGGGAGCTGGGCATACCCTCTAACGCGGGACCGATGAATCAACTGGCGGCCGGCTACCAGCGGCCCCTGTCTCATCCCGGCGGGGGCAGCGGAGTGGCGGCGGCTGCGGCCGCAGTGACAGCGGCGCAGCAGGAGAAAGGCATGTTCAGCATCAGCCAGCTGAACATGGAGCTCACCGAGGAGCACGTCGGCAGCAACGGACGCATGGAGATCACCTGCCTGTCCACGATCCCCTCGGCGGTGGGGCAGGGCGAGCAGTATGCCGACTACAAGACCTTCTCCGTGAAAGGTGAGTAAGCGTGTGGGTGACACGGGGCGTATGCGTGATTCGAATTTCATTATTTACTTTATTTATGTTATGCCATGTAATATTATGCAAGCAAATATTTGTATTTGGTAACCGTTTTTTCATCAAATTAAAGGACCAGTGAACTCATCAAAAATCTGGCCGCGAAAAAATTATAAAATTTAAAATGGAATCACGGATGAAATTTCAGAAAATAAATTAGCATGATAAAGAGAGTCAGACTTCAGCATTCGTATGTGTATGTGCGTGCAATGTTATTAAGTCGGGCTGTCAAGAAAACCACCAGGATATTTATCATACAAACAAAAGTCAGCGTTTCCATTGTCTTAAATGGCAGATTAGAAATTGCGTCCTTGATTCTGTTGACTCAACCGGTTGTCCCACATACCCGGGCTGGATGTCATATGTTTGTCGTTTGTCGACGTTTAATTTTCATTTTCCCAGCCTTCAATGTCTGAAAATGGGGCCAAAACAAAGGTTAATTTATATATTTGCTGACATTGTTTGCCTACAACAAGCCGGTTGTTAGCACTAACGTCCCAGCCAAGTCGTTGGCGGCCCAGTTGTAAATTGTCCCGAATTGTACGAAATAATTTACACATTACCAGGGCCATGACTCACAACAGAGAACGTCAAGGGTGTTACTTTTTGGCACCCGAATCACACTTATAAGTTTGGAGTGCTTGTCGCACTCACAAACAAAAGGAATAGAACAACACACCCAAATGCACAAATCGCTTTCCGTGTTTCGTGTTTTTGCATTTCGTCACTCACTCAAACAGTAAGCGTAGATTCTATTTCACCAGACACTCAAAAATGTTGCGCAGATTAGTGAACTGCACAGTGCACTCAAAGCAAATGTACAAAAAGCAACAGTAGATCACAAAAGGCAATGCGCAATATTGCGCTGTGAGCGAAACACTTATGTTTTACAGTTATGATTTCGAGTGTCTTAAACTTGTATGTACTGGTATGCATGATCGCTGGTTTGTTTTTTTGGTCGCTTGATTTCAGTTGTTAGTTGAAGTCGTAGAAGGAATAAGCAAAATGCCTGAAACGCCGGACTCTATAACAAGTAAAATTGATTGTGGAACGTACACTTTAACACAAAAACATAAAGGAAAAAGTGTTATGTGGAACGTTTTACATTCTATTCTTAAAGAAGACGAAAGTGCCGTGGAAGGGTGGCTATTTTGCGGCACCTGTCGAAAAGTTCTAAAGTTTGTGGCTGGCCACACATCAAATTTTTTTTTTTTATTTAATATTAGTCATTGGAGACAAAATTTCATTATCATATTTTTAAGCATATTGTAAGACCTAGTCATTGAAGACGCATTCACTTGTAATAGTTATACGCATTTGTTATTTTTATATTAGTCACTGAAGACGGCAATTACTTTTATTTTTACGACAAACTAATCTAAGATTAAAATGGATCCAAAAGGAAAACTATTATACAAAACTAAGACTATATAAACTATTTGAAATATGTAATGACTTTCTTAAAAACATTAAAATTAAATACACACAACGAAGTAGCAAAACACGGCTTTTATTTTTATCTCACATATGTATATGTATGTATGCATATGTGCATACTTAAAAACAAATATGTATGCATGTATGAAGCTAATGCAAGAATAACAACAACACACTTGTCTCTCACATATTGTTTGTCTCAAGTTTTGTGCTCTCAATTTCGCCCATTCCTTTTGCTTTATCATATTGATCGGCGTCAACTCATGTATACATGCAGAAAAGAGCACGAAGTCGTTTTGCGAGTGTGCGTATGAGCATGTCCGAAAATATCAGTGAAAGGCAACAAACCTTATTTAAGAGTGCCGATCACACTCTAAGTGACGTTAACGCACAATTGATTCGGGTACACTTATTGTTTGGGTGTACCCTTGCCGTTCTCTGACTCACAACGGTCGTTGGCCTCTCTCCAATCTTCTGGCCACAAGAAAGCAAGAGTCCCTTTGCCGGCGGCAGCTCCGTTGTCTTTCGACCTCTTTGCCCACTGCCACTTGAACCAAGGGGCGTATGCGTGTTATTTATGTTGCGTGAAGTGCGTCATTTGTTTGGACCACTTCGCAGCCGAGAATGCTCCACTCCGTAATTGTTTCTTATGCTGCCCTCAGGGCCTGCCATCAGTCTGGGCCTCTGAATCTCTGAACATTCCACCGCCAAAACGAAAACTTTTTAGCCCTCGAAGGGCTCTAGTTTGGGCTGATAGGCACCGTGGCGACCATAGCTGCGGTTTCAGGCCTCGTTCTCGACTGTAAAACATTCGCCTAGATAACTTGGGGGCTTATCACAGCTCTAAATCATTCATTATACCCTTGCAGAGGGTATTATAAACGTGGTCAAAAGGCTCAAAAAAGGCAAAAAAATATTTCGGATTTTGATGCAGAATGGTAGGGAATCAATACAGAAATTGTTTAAAACACTCCGCTTGAGAATCGGATGAGAATTGAGGAAGATATAGCCATCACTGTGGGCCCTATAGGGGAAAACCTCGATTTCATCACAAGTGGTGGGGATCATCCAGAAAAATGGACAAAAATTCTACAAAATATTTTGTCTCAGGATTTTAATGCAGCATGGTGGCAAATCGATCCAGAAATCGTTTAAGGTACTCCGCTTGAGAATCGGATGAGAATTGGGGAAGATATAGTCATCACTGTGGGCCCTATAGGGGAAACCCCCACTTCCAAGGGATCATCAGGAAAAATGGACAAAAAATCTAAAAAATATTTCGTCTCAGGGTTTTGATGCAGAATGGTGGGGAATCGATACAGAAATCGTTTAAAACACTCCGCTTGAGAATCGGTTGAGAATTGGGGAAGACATAGCCATCACTGTGGGCCCTATAGGGGAAAACCTCGATTTCATCACAAGTGGTGGGGATCATCCAGAAAAATGGACACAAATTCTAAAAAATATTTCGTCTCAGGATTTTGATGCAGAATGGTGGGGAATCGATACAGAAATCGTTTAAAACACTCCGCTTGAGAATCGGATAAGAATTGGGGAAGATATAGCCATCACTGTGGGCCCTATAGGGAAACCCCCACTTCCAAGGGATCATCAGGAAAAATGGACAAAAAATCTAAAAAATATTTTGTCTCAGGATTTTAATGCAGCATGGTGGCAAATCGATCCAGAAATCGTTTAAGGTACTCCGCTTGAGAATCGGATGAGAATTGGGGAAGATATAGCCATCACTGTGGCCCCTATAGGGGAAAACCTCATTTTCAAGGGATCATCAGGAAAAATGGACAAAAAATCTAAAAAATATTTCGTCTCAGGATTTTGATGCAGAATGGTGGGGAATTGATACAGAAATCGTTTAAAACACTCCGCTTGCGAATCGGTTGAGAATTGGGGAAGATATAGCGAACACTGTGGGCCATAAATCTGTATGTTTAACCTTCAGCATTTGGGCTAAAGGTTTGGGCTAATGTTTAGACTCTAAGCCTTAAGGATGAGTTTGAAATAACAGTCTTTCGTCTTCTTTGCCATTTTGCAGTTGAAGTCGAGCGGCATGTGGCATCCTCCACATCCACGGCTCCTCCCAGCATCGGCATGGCGGCGCTGGGCAATGGAAACGGGCATGGCAATGAGACCTCCGCCGGATGGAGTGCCCGCGGTGCGGTAGTGACGCACTTGTGGTCCCTGGCCCAGTTGCTCCTGCTCGTCTTGCTCCCTCTGAGCTACTAGGATGGAGGAAGGCACGCATGCAAAAGGCGGATGAGGAGGAGTAGACCACCGACATACTCTCACAGAAGGTATAGTTAAACCAAACCAAGGACAACCACATCATCAAGATCATCATACCCATCGAGGACAAAGCAGCCAGAGCAGCAGCAGCAGATGCAGCATCAAAAAACACAAGTTGAATTTTTTGTAAATTGTACACCAGAAATTTTTAATCTATTTCCAAGGCAAGGGCTCAATTGAGCAGGAAAATTAGCACAGCACAAAGAGCGGAAAACCCAAAGGACTGGAGCAAATGCCTGGCGAATGGATTAGGAGAACATTTTTAGCATTTTGTGCTCGCCATGGTCAGCCCATTTAAATAGTTTACTTGTAAATAACTGCAAATGACCGAGGGGACAGAGGCAATGATATTCTTTTTTTGTTTGTGTGGCCGCAATGGCAAAGCGAAATGCTTGTAATTAAGTTGCAGGCGGTCGGGGAAACTGGGTGAACGTTTTGCCGGCTGACCAGTGGCATTTTTTGTAGCGCAAAGAAAATTTTGTATAGCCAATTGGGCACTAGTTTTGGGGAAAGCGCGCTGACGAATCCTGGGAATGCAATTTCGTGCCAAGAATCCAAAGTTTTGTGCGATTCAAGGTCAGCGCGCAACGGGGGAGACATTCCGCCCACTGATTTCCCTTCGTCGGCCTTGTCAAAAGTTTTTGGGCAAATGCCGCCTCCAGAGAAATCCAAAATGCAAACAGCCAGAATTGATTGGGGCAAAGTTTTTAGGCGTTTCAAAGCAGTCGCTACGAAGCTTGTACCTAAAATGCATGATCTTAGTGCAATAGCAGAGAACACACAACTACACGCTCAAAAGTGAGTTAAAGTAACATATTTTTTACGGCATTGTAGGGCTTTGGCTAGTCGAATATAAAGAGTAAAGATTGTGGCAACAAGGGTTAGGCTAAAATTAAGGCAATTGAGTTTAGGCGCCAGAAGCAGCAGCAGCAGAAGCAGCAGAAAGCTAAATAAGAGTAACGAACCCCGAAACCCGAACCAGACCCGTACCAACGTAACCCGAAATAAAACGTTTAAATGTAAAATAATTAGACAGTTAAACCAAGAAGCTTACAAAAACAATCAGTGTTGAAAACATTTTGAGAAACGAAAACAAAACAGTGAAGGGCGAAGAGAAAATAACACGAACACAAGAAAATGGCGTCGCAATGGGCGCCGTCTGCGGCGCGTGGTGACCCCCGAAAAAAGGAGTCAGGTTGGGCCCGAAGGACCGAGGCTATGGGCTATGAGATGGGTAATGGGTTAGCCCAGAACCCAAAAACAGAACCCGTACTCATTCCGGCACACATTACGACGCTTACTTATTTATTTTCATTTCGGCCCCTAATTTTTGTTTCGTTGTGTGTAAATGGTTATCGTTGCAATGGATCGTTTAGTGTGTAGTTAGGAAAATATTTGCCGTTGCGATTAATTGTTTTAATTATTGTTTCTGTTCCGGCCATTTAGAGGGGGCTGGAAACAAAGTACAGATGCATTTCGTGTACATTTAGGAAAGGATATTTTCAAGCGCGCTTTAAGTGTCTACGGCTAGAGATCAATTTTAAACACGTAGCATAACAATGTAACTATGTAAAGCAAAAGGATAAACAACCACGGACAACCCGGCAAAGTAAATACATGTAAAGCAATTAGTGGACTAGTCTATATCTTTATACGTTTACGTAAATATATATATATAATGTGCGTCTGTACTGTGTGTATGTAATTAGGCTTCTATTTTTGACTCTACTCGACGGCGAAAATGCAAAAAAAAAAAAAACTAAAACCAGAAATATTGATAGATATATAATTAAGCCTGCGATGTTCTCCTACAGTTTGAACAAGAAAATCAGTTAAAGCTAACGATTACAATTACAATTAAAATTACAACTGCAATTTGAAAAATCTTGCCACAGTTGAAACATTTTCCAATGGTTGTCTCATTGAGCGGTAATTAAGAAGTGAGTAACATACACGTAGTTTCTTATCCATCGGATGCTAAATGAGTACACCAGTCGGATAATGCTTGAACGAACTACAGTTTTTATAAATGAGAATATACTTAAATATGATAACGGTGACATCACGTAAAAGTAATTGAAAACAAAGTTCATATTATGTATGAAAATATGGCTAAAATGTCTTATGCAGGTATTGACGTCTTCCTATGCTACGCTGTCTATTATTAACAAACAAAACAAAAAATTGATTAAATTTATAAATTATACATTACGAATAGGTGTGCAACCAATTTACTGTTTGCATAAACTAAGAACTAAACAAAATACAAAAAAAAAAAAAAGAGAAAAAGAAAACCAAAACCAAAACAGATTAATAACACTTATACATAACAAATGAAAATGCTTTAAAGTTAAAGAATAATTTATTCTTCGTTTACCTCGATCTATGGACCACATTGTCTAGGTAATGTTATGATTCTGGTCTGCTTATTTCAACCATCATTCCATTCTGAATTGAGTGCAAGGGAGCCACTTCCCTGTTGGTTATGTGTTTTTGAGAATCACTCGAACTAGTAAATGTTTCCCACCAATCTATGAACAAGTGCAAACACCCTTCAACCAATCAGGCATATTCTCACTCTCCTATTTATCTGACACATTTGCATCCATTGTTTCCCCAACCGAGAACACCACAGTCATAGACACCTCCTTCCTCCTATCCTTCTCTATTTGTCTGTATAAATATGCAAACTGCGTGTTGTCTACAATTCAGTCGTCTGTCGTCTCAGCATATATCTGCATGAATATGCATAATTGGCTAAGACTGGGAGCTAGTTTATCCCGGTCTTGCGTCTGCTAATTATGAGTCGTGCCCCCTACCCAGCATATAAATGTGTATCTATGTAAAAACTTTATATAGGTGTCAAGTGCAAATGAAACACAATAAGGATGATATTTATATAGATCAAATAAGAGTACATTAAGTGTCGCAGCAATTCGCAAACATATCATAAATGTTGTAACATTTTCCCAATTCGAAGGAGCTAACACACCGCAGCTCTCATAAACAAATTTAAGATGACACTGGAGCACATCTTCCGTGTGTGGTGGCATTTTTTCATGCATAGCATGTGGTACTTACATAAAAAAATTATAATTTTTTGTTGAAGCTCCTCCTTGTCCCCAAAATGAATATTGACTTTGGATATTAACGTAAAACATCCGGGATTCATGGGTGCAGGGGGAAGACTTTGGGGGAATGACATTATAATGAAATAAAATTGTGCATGATATACACGTTAACACACATTCGGAAGCACGTAAAACACGAACATTATATTTGAATGTTGTATTTTGATAGGTCAAAAGTATTACGATAACGGGTCGCCAGACAAAGGTATGTTGTTTGGGGACCTGCCTTGCGACTACCTTATCATTTCTCTCACATCAAAATCTTCCAATCACACATATCACGACGTATTGAACAAAGGGCATGAAATTATACAAGATATATATTGAAATTATGTATACAACAAGATGTATAAAACATATATATTTATAGAGAAATGGAATTATTTATTAATTTTAGACACTTACACCACAAAAGCTTTAACTTTTGTTCCCATTATTTATGTGGCATTAATATAACCGCATTCACATGTATGCAAACGCGTTTGACATTGAATTCAACCTTATTTGTAATTCCAATTTGTATTGTAAAAAAAACGTTTTACGGTCTAAGAAAATTATGTAGATGAATAGCGGAAGTGGAGCTATTAATGATATCTGAATACTGGCGAAAGCCAATTAACATACAAAACCAAATTGAACTCGATAAACATAACGTAATAATTTATTTATAGATACAGACATACCAAGTGAAAGATGATTTGTATAAATTGCAACCTATGCAAGTCATATGAAAACTTAATGTGGAATATGTGTATTATTACGAGTATACTAAAGCTAAGTGCGTACCACGAATATTGATATGTACACTGTCAGTGCTGAGCAGGAGAGTGTGCTGGGAAAAGCACAAACTAAATGTAAAATTAAAAGTGTAAATTACCAATGTGAACACAAATTACGATTACAATTCAACCAAAATTATGACGCCTACTGCTTGGCCAATCTACTACACTGAAAGGATATACAGAATATTAAATATACATACTGAAATACGAATATTTGTGGTAAAAAGAGAACGAACTAAAAAATAAATGTTGAAAACAAAGGACCAGTAGCGTTTCACTCAAGGACCATTTAAGGAGCACACGCCCCTTAAACAAAGAGTCCCCAAAAAAACACAAAAAGGCAAATGTAGAAAAACACAACCAAGTGGCAGCCACAGAAAGTGCCACAACAAAATTTGTGGGCAGAGAAATGCGGATTTTAGGGGACCTTGGTTAAAGGCAAGAGACTGGGGACAACAGACAGGATTTTGTGGCAGAGGACCCCACAAGTGCGTTAAACAAACTTGCGTAACTTTCCGTTTGACGAATATCCTTTTAATCCCTTTAAATGTGCAGGAAAATTGAGGGAGCAGCAACGAAATGCGTAAACAAAGGCCAGCCTCGTAAGGGCACATAAGGTCAGATGTCTTGGCGAAATTACAAAGGGGGAAGTGGGCGGGTACGAATGTTCTGCAATAATCAACGAAAGGATAAACTACGGAATAAATGGCGAATCAAGGGTATCACGGCCGTAAAACACATCCGCCGAGAGATCCACCGAGAGTCAGGGCCACACACAAAGCCGATGGCACAATGGCCGAGAATGAGTTTTTTTTTCTTTACTTCCAATGAGCCGACTTTGTCTCTCCCCAGAGCCGAGACTTTTGTGAGCCACAGGACGGTACAAAGGTGCAACGAGCTTGGATGCCTCATTACGAAATCAAAGCCCTGTCCGCACACACACACACTCGCAGACACTTACACAAACATTGGGCGGGGCGGTGTGGGTTAACGGGGCGTGTGGCCGGCGACAGATGGCAGCTATCGATTCTGAATTTGTGTGACAGACAGAGCATCAGGATATCAGGACACCGGGCCAATGACAACATTGCATGGAAATGAGCAATTAACGCCCGGGCTTCGTTAGGCCAGACCAATCTGGCTATCGACGAATCAACAGATTTTCTGCAGAGCCATCAAAAGGGTTCTCAGCTCTCCGGTTTCTGGAATCTGGTCTTTGGTGTCCCTCGCCATACTCCGATTTCCGGTCGTCGTTCGTTTGCCTGTACTCTCCCTTCTCCGTCTCTTGATTAAGGTATAAATATTAAATTAGCAGTGGCTGTGGCCAGGAGCCTGCTTTGACTCTGCCAGTGCCTTCGCCTTTGCCGTTAATGAGGCATGGCCATGGCAAGCAAAAGAGTCAGACAGGATGTGGTTTGTTAAGAGGCTCGTTCGCTGCTTAATTATACATGGCAGCGCCCAAAAGTCGACTAATTAATATGCAGCAGTCGAGCAGCGGAGAGTGGCTGGGTTAATGAGCCAAAACTCTCAGCATGTGTGCCAACTTTCGACAGCAAACAGCGGAGCGACAGCCAGTCAAGCGGATGTTGTTTTTAGTTTTTGTTTTTAGTGCAAAAATCGGCTGATTCGGTCGAGTCCCCCGGGCTGCACGCCAATCCTTCCGCGATGCCAATGTCGATGCTGATGCCATTGCCGACCGAATAACTCAATTTTCATAGAGTGGCCCGGCTACAGAGCACGCGGGAAACACCAATAAACACTTTTTGCAACAAATCCAAACTATTCCGCAGCAACCACAGTGGCAAAGCAGCAGCAGGAGTAGCGCTGCTACAGGGAAAGGCGCAGTTAAACTTTTTGACAGCGACAACATGGCGTACAACTGCCAACTGCAAGTGCTCTTGGGTGTGGCTCCTTCCACCACGCCCGGATTTTGCCCAAAACTCTGGTTCTGGCGGTGCATTGCCACCTGCATAAAGCACGGGGTCTGGGATTCGGCCTGGGCTGGGGCATGGGCTTGGGCTTGGGCGAGTGGTTGCCAAATTAACAAAAGCGCACAACTTTGTTGCGGCTGAAAAACTCACAGGGAAAAACAACGGAGATGGCAAACCTGTCTCAAGCACATTTCAATTTTCGGCGTACAAAGTTGCCGCCTGCATGCGGACAAATGTCAAAATATTTAGTTGTTAGTACACGCGCAACTTTCCCTCCGGAAATTGAAAAGAAATATTGGTTAGCCCGTGGGACAGAAAGCAAATGCCCCCATTCTGCCAGCGATGGTAAAAGTTTTCGCGCTTTCCCGAATTAAATCCGAATAAAAGTGTGTGTGTGTATCGGGAGCGTTGCACAATGGAGCTGGCTCACCGCAGGTGTCAGCCGGAGAGATTGGGAGCGACACAGTATTTGTGCAGGCGATTTGTATTTGGTTCTAGTGCCAACAAAAAATCGTTTCCATTTGGACTCTGTCGGTACATAACTAGATGAAAAAGCGTACTTCAAAAAAAATTAAGCCAAAAAGCATGCTACACTTTTTAGACCTTCAGTGCTAACTTGTCTGAAAACGGGGCGTACTTAATGTGCTAACTACTTTCGAGCCTTGAACTTGTAGCTTAAGTTCATCGTTAATGCATATAAATACTCTACTCGCAAACAGGAGTAGATGCATTAACTCCATGTTGTATTCAATAAAATTTTAAATAAATAAAAGAAAGCTACAAAAAGTGCGTTAAGTGCACTGCTTTAAATGGATATTAAACGAAATGTATGAATGCTTTTTATGATTCTCTGTTTGCAGCACCTGTGGCAGAGTGTCTTCCCTTCGTTATCCCGCGGCGGGGTGAAAAAACGTTGATATCTCTTCTGGGCGTCAAAAGAAAGTTTGCACGGGCGACACTTGGAGTGCCGTGAATGTTGTTTTAATAATTTATTTTGTGCGCACAGCGGGTTGCTCATTAACACACACACGCCAGAGCAGCAGAGGCACCCATGAACCTATCCTCCCGAGGTTACACCAATACTGGCACGCACAGGACACGCACTTGGAAGGCTCGTAGTCGATTCGGTCGGCTGACTGCTGCATATCACCTTAATTACAGGCAGCAGTCTGGGCGCAGTCAGACGGCAAATGGCAGACAAGCTAACAGCGTTTATGGTGCCCCAAATTGCCATTGCCCCCCCAGCCATCCGCCCATCCACCGGCTTTTTCCTCGGCATATTGTCGCTGTCGTTACGCTTTAGCGATTCGCCACTGTACTCGACAGAAAGAGCAACGGATTCAGTTTGCACTCGACTGCTGATAAGCGTGCGATTCCTGCAGGGCGGCACACTTAACATCAAACACTACTACACACACACACACCCTCTGGCAAAGCAGGATGGCCATGAATACATGCACCGTTGAGTTGCGTCACATCTAAGTGAAATTTAAGGACTCCACTCAGCGATGTACCAAATCCTCTGCATAGTTCATGCCACCCGAGTAAGGGCTTAGGTTTGGGTCTGGGTTCATGTTCGGGGCTGGCATTTCGCATGATGAGTTTGGCTGCTTTCACGGAAGCAGGAAGCCATCAAGCCACACCCCCATACGCCTCGACTAAGGGCATCAACAATCATCCACGATGAGTGTCGTCTGCTGGCAGAACACAGATCAGCAGGCAGTATCCACATCCACATCCACATTCACAGCCACAGGCAGCTCTACCTGCAACAGGACGTTGCCACTTAGACAGACCACAACTGGCATTGGGCTCCGAAACGATAGCCATCAGTGTTGGGCAAATGTTTAAGGTACAAGACAGGTACAAAAGGTAAGTGGCTTCTTTACATTTTAAACTTAGTTAGAACGACGTATAACAAAAATAACCTATTGTCATTTTCCACAAAGTCTCATTCCTTTAAAAAGGTTATGTATTAATTGAACTCCAAGGTAGATACTGTACTATTTTACAAATCCAAATACAAAACAAGGTACATCTCCCTCAACTAGACACCACTGCTAACCACCAACAATAAGCTGGCACACAAAGAGTGGACTTAAACGTGAACCGGGCCCAGACCGGGTCATTGTGCAACCACTTCATTTCGATTCTAATAACTCCAATTACAAATGGCGGATGGGATAACACCGGTGTGTGCATATGCCAGGGATTCCATGGATATGAGCTCGGGTATTTTTCGTTCTGGTCCGTTTCACAACCCATGTGGCAATGTGAGCGGGCGTGGCAGTGGGTGGCTCAACTTGTTGCTGGACTTTATGACATGCCAGCCATTTTATCCAGCCTATTATTTCAGGGATTTTATGCGAAAGGACAACGCTCGAATGCCCATCCAGCCCGGGATTTGGCCCACTAAACGAAAAGTTTCCGTTCTGGATGGTGGAATTGCCAGAATCCTGCAATTAGTTTGTCAGTTCACATTGGAAATTTGTCAGCTAACAAATTTTATTCCTGTACATGGATACTTAAGAGCTAGTTATTTGCACACGATGGGAGTGGGGAGAGGTACTTTTCAATGGATTGCTTAGGAAACGTTACCGTTGGACACAGCTTTCTTGGGATTATAATCTACTTGACGCGGAAACGACGCAGGGTGGGTGGCAAGTAGTCCTGGCCGGAGACCACATTGGCGGGCAGGTACTCAGAGCTGGGGGCGGGGGCAGCTGCCACGGCAACAGGGGCAGCCACGGCGGCTGGGGAGGCAAAGTTCAGAACCGGAGCCCGTCCCTCGTTGGAGATACGGGAAACGCCTGGGAGTTGGTTGTACTGGTTCTGGATGGCCAGCTGGGCATTGGCCGCATCCTCGGGAGTGCGGTACTTGACGAAGTGCACCTCAGGCTTGTTGCTGGAGGTGGTCTTCAGGGCGTTCAGCTGCTTGGCCAGGTTGGTCACATCCGACTGCTTGGTCAGCACATAGATGGCGGTCTCCTGCTGGGCAGACTGCTTGGCCAACTGCAGAGCGGCGCGCTCGAAGCCCTGGTTCTCCGGGGTGCGGATGAAGACCACGCGCAAGTTCTTCTTCAAAGAGTTGGCGATCTGCTGGTTGTTGACTCCCTCATCGAACTGCTCCTCGGGAGCGGCGTAGCTGAAGAACTCCTTCTGGAACTCCTCGATCAATGGAGCTGGCTGAGGGGCAATGGGAGCCTGGACCAGGGCAGGGGCCTCAATAGGCTGCGACAGCACCGCCTCTCCGCTCTGCACTGGCTGCAGCAGTTGAGGGATCTCTCCTACCTGCTGCACTCCTGCTCCGGGAACAAAGGATAATCCCTCGTCAGCGTGAGCCACTGGCTGGTAGTTGTAGCCCAGCTTGTCGGCACTGCAGCTGGCAGCAAACAGGCAAATAAGCTGTATGGAAGACATATTATTTAAAATGACATCAACCTTTTATCCAATGTCTTTGAGACTTACGATAAAGGCGCGCATGGTGGCTGAAGATGCTTACAATGGGAGCTGAATGAGGGAACTAATGCTGGGACTCCGACCCAATCTGGCTTTTATAGCTGCAGCAAAGTCACACACCCCTCCCACGAACGAGTTCATCGGTGATCCACTCTTTCCGACGACCTTGCGGACTTGAGATTTGATTTCGCTGCTATTCGGCCGTCATTAAAATGCTCCACCATTTAAATATGCAAGCCTATTCCCCGACCTAGGCCTAGGCCTATCGATTATCGTGGCTTTGATTTAAATGCACTCGGAGTAGTTTATAAATATGCATTGATTGCGAGTGGTGAGATGCTGAATCCGATGCTGCGACTGCTGCCACATTATCTAATTGATTTGTGTTGGCTGCGACAGGCCATAAAAAACAAAGAAACTTTTTAGAGAGGCCCAAACGGCAGCCACTGTGTTGAAATGGTCAGAAAATAAACAGCTACTGGCTTTGCCGTGCCGATAGTATCTGGCGGTCTGGTTGGCGGCCAACTCTCCGGGTTTGGCCAGCTCTTAAGCCGGTAATTATAATTTTCATAATTTTCCACAAGTTCGCGTTTTTCGGCTGGGCTCGGGACGAAAACGTCAATCTTTTTCGACGGTTCAGTTAATGAAGTTCCTTAACTAATTTAAACTTTTTCGGTATCGTTTGATGGCCAAAGAAAAATAAGAATTTAAATTGTTGAATGGCAGATGTCGAGGGTCGCTGAGGGTCATGAATATAAAACAATCAAATTCGAAGTTCGTGTTTTACATTTTCACTTGTACAGGCTTTAAGATTCTTTTGAGATAGGCGCACAGACATACTTTAATTGAATGGTTTAGAAAAATATCTCAGTTATCAGGACGTTAGTTTTGTGGTATCAGCATTCTGGGATTATTGATTAGTTTGGCATCATTCTTTCGTTTTTTAGGATTAGAGAGGAAAGCATCTCCAGCCAGCTTTGGCCACTCATGCTGGCTATTAGCTGCATAGTGAAACTCTTAGCACAGTTGGAGGACAGAAACCAACAACAAAGGCAAAGAAGACCCAAACTGCGCCTAATTTGGAGATGGCAAGCCAAACAAGCCAAGTGCCCGAAAACGAAGAAAAGATTGAAAAGCACGCAAACTTGGCAGCTGCTGCTGCTGCTTTTTCCGTTGCTTTTGGATGGAATCTGAGCCTTGGACCTTGGACACACCTGTCCCGAAATTGCAGCAAGTCATGAGCCTCCCTCCGGCAGGGATTCCGGATTTCGGATTAAAGCAGTTGGCTCCGTGCAGTGTGGCGGATATACCGCGAAATAAAAAAAACAGTCAGAGGGCGGAATGCGAGCAGGCGGCAGCAACAGCGGCAGCTTTGACGTGACTGGCAAAGTTTTTGGCAGGCACTGCTAACGAGCAGAGTGGAACTCCTTCACGTCCTTCGCATCCACAGCCCAGGATCTCATGTTGCTCTAAAATGCTTAAACTAAAACTTGCTCAACAGATTTGCAGTGGCGGGAACCTTTTTACGGCTGCACTTCAGCGTGTCATATGGCGTGGCAGTGAAGGTGGATGTGGAAGGTGGAAGTGTGTGTTTGACCTTTGACACTAAAACAATTTGCAAAGCAAAATGATGTCAGCCCCAGTGTCCTGTCCTCACTTGGTTCTTGTCGTTTCGTAGTGGCGTAATTTAGTTGAAACATTCTTAAAGTAGCGCCTGTCGTAAAACCCTGGAAACGGGAGGGGATTGCTGGCAAGGCAATAGCTACTCTCCAGGCTTATGTGGTAGGGAGCGAGCTGCGGGTAAAACTCCGGGCGTAGCTCATTAAAAAGTTTGCCAGCGACAACGTCGACGGCGACATTTGCTTAAGAAAACATTTGCCAGCACAGGGAAGAGGAGGGCAGGAGTCGGTTACCAACACCTTAATGATTATCCACGAGATACTTTCATGATAATCCACAAAGTGTGGGGCAGGCCTGCTCCACAGTAACTCAGAAGTAAAACGTTACGGTCTTAGGCTGTGTAATTAATTATTCATAATAGCTAGCTATATACAAACAGCGTGTTCCATCGACCAGATATCCTCCCACAACATAACTAAATGTTTCTTGATTGAAATTTAAATTAAATTTGTTGGCAAAAACTTGGCATTCCAAGTGTATTGAATAATTTATGGCCAGCCCCCTCGCGCGAACCATGGCGACATTATGTTTGTGAAATTAAGTATTTACTTTCAGTGGTTACTTAAAATCGATGAATGCGATGTAATTTTAGGGCTTACTAATGTTAACAAAAACAAATACAGGCCTTATGAAAAGCATATAAGCTTTAAATAAACAACTGATTATTGACAATACCAGCTTGTTTAAAAATATATATTGGCTATAAACTAGTTTATCAAATTTGCCAACCAGTAACTTCAAAATTAGCCCCATAAATGTTCACAGTATATATTAATTTTTGCAACTCATGTGGATTTTCAGTCATGATTTATCGAAATTTCAACATAATTTATACAGGAACGCTGCAACTTTACTAATTAGTTTTTAATTTAAATAACGCTTAAACAGTCTTTGACAAGTATGGCCTAACATTTCTAGAGATTCAACGCCGCTTTCCTGGGGGCAGGTACTCCCGGAACAATGCCTGCAACTTGGCGGTTTCCAACTCGCTGGCCTGTTCGTGGGTCTCGTACTCGGCGCTATTCTTTGGCCGGATCTTGAAGATCACTGGATTTTGTGGAGGAGAAGGCTTCGATGGGGCCTGCGAGTTCAAGTGCAAGACATCAGCCTTTTCGATGGCGTGACTTATACTATTACCCGGCAGTCGGTCGTAGTCGCTCCGCAAAATACTCAAAGCTCGGGTGACATCCGCCGGAGTTCTATACTTGACGAAGTGCACCGATGGCTGAGACGCCACCTGCTGCTGAATGGAAGCCTGTTGCTGCGCCAAGGCCGCGGCGTCAGCCTGTCGTTGCAACACAAATATATCCAGCGGACTATTGGTCGCCAGTTGCTTGGCGGTCAGGCTGAAGATGTTTGTTTCCGGAGTTCGAATGAACACCACCTGTTGTGGCGGGGAGATGACCTGGGCCAGCTGGCGGGCAGCCTGGTAGGGGGCCGCCGTGTCGTCATCCGGGGGAGCGGCGTATGTGAAATATTCCGTCGCCAATCGACCAGATCCAACCTCATTTTCCGCTGGTAAATATACGTCTCCAAGGGCTTGACAAAGACCAATAGATAAGCCAAAAATCTGTAATGGTATCTTTTAGTAAAGTTTGAGAAAGAAAAGGAAATTCGAGCTTAAAGCCTACCAGCAAGGAGTACATGGCTAAAAATGTGAAGCTCGAATGGTGGCGATTTTTCTTAGCGATTTTTACCGCTCGACGCTCTGAATGGTTATAATCCAGTCCCAGCAACAAAACCATCCTTATATACGACACAAACAAATAGCCGGTTGAAAGTTAGCTGACTTCTCGGCCTCTTCGTCTCTCATTATGATTTTATTTATCTTTTTATTCGCATTTTGCATTCATTTTACTCTTTACGATTTTATAAAAGATTTCTGCGAACCTTTGCTCTGGTTTTGTGTTTGCCTGCTCCGATTATCCATGTTAATGTCGTTCAATTTTGAAATGCAAATTCGGGGGCTTGCAAGACACAAGACTCGCACACAGTTGAACTGCAAAAAAAAATACTTCAATATTTAAACAAAAGGCAACATACACACACTAATACTTGCTGACCCGAGAGCCCGGCTTGAACTTGAATTTAATTCGCATAAAATTTACAAATGAGCTCCCAATTTGAATTAGTTATAAAATATTTTCATATACCATTGGGGTCCCATTGTTGTCGCCTGTCATAGACAAAACCATTTGTTTTGACTTCCCTCCAGCTTACACCTCCGCAGCCCTACTTTCACCCGGCCAGGTATTTTTATGACCGACATTTTATGGCTACTGATTTGTTAATTTACACGTCATTTTGATGTTTTTCTTGGCCTAGGTTCGGATCTTCGATAAGCCTCTTAACGAAATTCACAGCTCAACAGATGCGATCTTGCAGATGGTACGACTTACGGTAGAGCTTCTTCAGAATGAACCTTTAAAATATAATTTGATGTAACTCTTCCCTTTTAAGAGACAATATTTAATAAAAATATATTTATTAAAAAAACAAATAGTATTTATTTTTTAACAGATATAGATTTTATTCTTAATACATAGCTGCAAAGTCTAACAACTAATATCAGCTTCACAAGTTTATACTGTAGATGATCAGCTTTATTCCGAGCTATAACTAGTTACACATGGGACAGTCTTATGGCACTAATTTAATGACTTAATTCGGCAAGGCCCTAGATTCGAAGTCGGCGCCGCTTCTCTTGGCTAGGCGGCAGGTATAACCTAGAAGTGCCTCCAGCTCTCCCATCCGAGGGAAAGACCATACGAGCCCCTGACCTACGTCGTTCGTTAACCCTGAAATCAAAGCCCTGTGATCTCGCTGTCCGGTAATCTACGTTGGCATCGTTGTAGTTGGCGGAAAGATCCTGCTGGGCTTCAGGAACCGGAGGCAGATCTATTTGCCCAGCAGAAGATGCCGCTGCAGAGCTATAGCCCTGAGCAATGGAGGAGTAGCTGGGTACCGGCGGCAAGTAACCCTGAGCAGGATATGCTGATTGCTGCGATGAGGATTGATAGCCCGACGAAGGAGCTGCTGCGTCCGGATAGTAGCCCTGATCGTACTGCGGCTGCTGCTCCGGATAGTAGCCCAATGAGGAAGACTGGCCAGCTTGCGGCAAAGACCCTGCTCCGCCGTACTGCGCCTGAATGTGCTGCTGGGCTTGGGCAGCCTCCGCCTCTGTCCTGTATTTTACAAAATGAACTTGGGGCTTGTGCTTGTGATGCGCCTTCAAGGCGCTCAGCTCACTTGCCAGTTCGTGGGCGTCCGTCTGCTTGTTGAGCACATAGATTGCCGTCTTATCCTCCGTGGTTTGCTTGGCCAAAGCATTCAAAGCCCCTACCACCGCCTTGTTTTCGGGCGCCTTGATAAACACCACCTGGAGATTCTTCTGCGAGAGGTCTGCCAACTTGGTCTCCACCAAGTCAGCCTCCTCTGCGGAATCGTAGGGTGCTTCGAAGGCATAGAAGTGTTTGTGGAAGGCTGCATGCTCCTGGTAGTGATCGTTGGGTTGAACGGGATATCCACCACCAGTGGTAGCTTCACCATAGCTATTCTGCTGGTATTGGTAGCCCAACTCCGCCGAGCTGCTGGCTAGCAACGTAAGAAACTAGGACAGACACCAAAGAATAAGTATTTATTGAAGTGGATGGACTCCCAGGTAAACTCACCAGTATTCCCAGCATGATATAACCAAGTCGAAGAGCAAAAAAGATTTGTCAGCTCATAACCATTCGACGAGCCATTTTATAATTTCATTCCCGCAAAAGTCGTCGACCGAACCCAACCAAATCGGGATAGAAATCGACCCCCATCTAGGGTAAGTAGTTCAATGTCGTCGAAGGTGTGTTACAATAAATTTTATTTCTTCAATTTGAAATTCGCCAAATCTACAAACTAGGCAACAAATGTGGTTCGCAGCGAGTGCGTAGGAATCGTGGATGGGTCAGTCTGGTCTTAGGTCAGTAAGGTCAGGGGATTCGCTTAGTTGCGGAATCGGAGCACCGAAGCGGGCAGGTAGGAGCTTCCAGGGGCGGAGGGGGCGGCCACCTGGCGGACAGCAGGCTGGGAAGCGAAGTTCAGAACGGGGGCCACTCCGCCGTTTTGGATGGTGGAGGTTCCTCCCAGCTGGTCGTACTGGGACTGGATGGCCTGCTGGGCATTGGCAGCGTCCTGGGGAGTGCGGTACTTGACGAAGTGAACCTCGGGCTTGTTGTTGTTGTTGTTGCGGATAGCGTTCAACTTGTTGCTCAGATCGCTAATGTCGGCCTGCTTGTTCAGGACATAGATGGCGGTCTCCTGCTGTCCAGCCTGCTTGGCCAGGGCAACGGCAGCGTTCTCCAGGCCACTGTTCTCGGGTCCCTTGATGAAGATCACACGGAGGGCCTTGTTGAGAGACTGGGACACTTGCTCGGAACCGGCGGGCTCGTTGAAGTCACCTTCGTCGGCGGTGTAGGTGAAGAACTCCTTCTGGAGCTCAGCCTGGGGAGCAGCATAGTTGGGAGCATCGGCCGAAGGAGCAGCCTCGGGGGCAGCAATGGCAGCAGGGGCGAAGGAGGCAGGAGCGCTGTAGGAGGCCTGCTCTTGGATGGCAGGAGCGGTGTATGCAGGTCCTGATGCAGCGTAGGATGGCTCAGGGGCAGCAGCGGCAGGCTGGTAGTTGTATCCACCCAGGGAAGCAGCGCTGGCAGCAGCCACGAAGCAGAGAGCCTGCAGAAGAAGATAAAGAAGTTTTAGTCGCTTGTGGTCCTGATTCAAGTTTTAGGAAATACTCACAATAAGGACGCGCATTTTGATTATGGTTTTGTAAGGAATGGATAACTCCGCTCGGATTGCTGGATGAAGACCAAGTATGTCCAACTCCACGACGCCCACGCTCTTTTATGCGAAACCAACCAGTGCATTTGGCACTGTTTTCTTTCTTCCTATTGCTCGAAATTTGGTTTTTTAATTGGTTGTCTTTGATTTGGCACCTCATTTCGGGCAATTCGCCAATCGCTCCTTCATCAGCTTTTTTTGCAGCTCCACCAATTTCCATTCCATTCACTGCCATTTGTCGCCTGTTGTTTCACTCGACATTTGTTGCTTTAATCTATGGCAATCCACAGCTTTTTAGTTGTTGGTATTTACGATGATTATTTGGTTTTTTCTCTGCATAATTTGCGGGCGAGCATAATTTTTTATGATTTTTCTAAACAGACCCCGACGACTTTTCTGTTTATGCAAATCGGCCGTAGTGGGTGCTCTTGAAAAAGAGCTGTCGCTGACCACTTTGGCTCGTTGTTATTGGCCATTCATCTGGCCACTCTGTTATCACTCATACATTATACATTATGTATTTGACCGCAGTATTGGTTCCGTCTTGCAGTTGCCATAAATTTGGCCGCTAATAGTTTGTCTAACCTTTTACTTCACGCAGATTAACATTTTAATTATGATAAAAAATTTTCGGCGATTGTTTTGCCTGCATCCCAAAACATGTAAATTTTTATTGATTTCCACTTGTATTCCATTTGGCGCCATCGCTTTGGAATTTTTATGGCCACTCAGGGTGCGTAATAAACGCCGATCTATGCAATTTTTCTATCGCCGAAGAGTGAGTGGCCGAAAACCCATCAAATCTTTGACATGACACTGACAACTTTATGTCCCGACTCATCCAGCCCACCATCCCAGTTCCCACAAGGTTTAATTTTAGAATCAATTGTATTTCGGGTTCGTTCGAGAAATCAATACATAACATAAAAGTCAACAAATGGCATATAGGAAGGATATGGCAGCTATGGTGAAGCAGATTCCTTTACCGCTTAGCGACGGAAACGCAGACGACGGAGCACGGAGGAGGGCAGGTAGGAGTTCTCCGGGATGCGGGCGTTGGGCTGACGCACCTGAGAGGCGGAAGCGAAGTTCAGGGCGTTGGCAACACCTCCGTTGATGGCCTGAGAGGATCCTCCCAGCTGGTCGTACTGCGACTGGATGGCGCGCTGGGCGTTGGCAGCATCCTCGGGGGTGCGGTACTTGACGAAGTGAACCTCGGGCTTGTTGTTGGTGTTGCTGCGGATGGCGTTCAGCTTGCTGGCCAGATCTCCGATGTCGGTCTGCTTGTTCAGGACATAGATGGCGGTCTCCTGCTGGGCAGCCTGCTTGGCCAGAGCCAGGGCAGCATTCTCCAGGCCACGGTTCTCAGGTCCCTTGATGAAGACGACGCGCAGACCCTTGTTCACGGAGCTGGCAACGCGCTCCAAAGCCTGGGGCTCATCGAAGTCCTCCTCGTTGGCGCTGAAGGTGAAGAACTCCTTCTCGAGCTCACCGGTAGCAGCAGGGGCATCGTAGTTGACAGGACCGCTGAGACCAGCAGAGCCCAGACCAGAGGAGCCAAGACCAGCAGATCCAAGACCAGAAGATCCAAGACCGGAAGATCCCAGACCAATTCCAGAGCCGAGTCCAGAGGATCCCAGATCCAGGGAGCCACCACCCAGGCCGCTGTCAAGGCTGCCGAAGTTGCCGCCGCTGAGTCCTCCCAGGGATCCGCCACCGAGTCCTCCCAGGGATCCACCGCCGAGTCCTCCCAGAGAACCGCTGCCGCCGCCAAGACCTCCGAGGGAGATTGAGCCGGCGCCGGATCCACTGCCAGGAGCAAAGGACAAGCCGGAGCTGGAGTGGGCCACGGGTTGGTAGTTGTAGCCGAGCTTGTCGGCGCAGGCGACGGCCACGAGGCACAGGACGATGAAGGCGCGCATTTTACTTTGCTGTTCTAGTTGGAGCTCTGAAGCCAGAAGTCAGAATGATGTCGGAGTGAGGCTCTGGGCCATTTATATGCCATGGCACGGACGGGGCGTCAATCAGAACAGGCGTGTCGCGGCGGTTAGAGATCACGATAAGGTTCGCATTGTCTGGGCCTAACCTGTTTTTCTGTTTTTCTTCTTGGCCAGTTTGGACTGAAGCCAAAGCCGAACTATGGCCAAAAATATCTAAGGTAGCGCCAGCGTTGGCGGCAGTCGGCGGTGTTGATTAAAATTTGATGAACTTGCAGCTTACGGAAAACAAAATTTTTATGCAAATCAAAATGGGGTGGGGTGCCGCCGGGTCAACCGTCACAAAGGGCTAGGCGGTGGCAGCTCCAAATTGTTTGACTATGCAGTAGCCAGATTCTTTTGTTTGCCCATATTGTTATGCAAATCAGACCGGGGATGATTGAAAGTAAGACTCTAGCCAATGGTTTTGGGCTAATTTCCCAGCTTAATAATTTTAAATTGCTCGCTGTCGTCTGTCTCATGCAATTTGTCAAACGAAGTCATCTCAATCTCGACGAAGTGCGTGGGCAACCGGAGTAGAGAAGTAGCCGAGTAGCCGATAAGCTATATGTTATACACCAGATTATAACGCACAAGATTATACAGAAAACATTTTAAGTTTCCGCTCATTTGCAATTTTCACAAACAGCCCAAAACCACGGACTCATAATTCAATATGCCCGAACCCGTTTGCCAGCCAACGGATTTGAATGCGAAAATTCAAATAGATGGCCTGCCTAGGAATGTTGGGCGAACAGATCCGCAAGCCTCTTGACAATTTACATTAACAAACAGATTTATTTCGCATAAAAATCTCAACAATAACGGAGGAATGTCTATCTTCGAATTTATGTTTAAATCTAGAATCTCAGGCGTCGCAGAATGTTGGCGGGCAGGTAACTGCTTCCAGGTGTCGCTGGCGGGACGTACGAGGAGATGGGAGCGGTGGCCGCGGGCACAGAGGCGGCAACTGGAGCGGATTGGGAGGCGAAGTTCAGGGCGGAGGCCACTCCACCGTCGTGGGACTGGGAAGATCCTCCCAGCTGGTCGTACTGCGACTGGATGGCGCGCTGGGCATTGGCGGCGTCCTCGGGAGTGCGGTACTTGACGAAGTGAACCTCGGGCTTGTTGTTGTTGTTGTTGCGGATAGCGTTCAGCTTGTTGGCCAGATCTCCGATGTCGGCCTGCTTGTTGAGGACATAGATGGCGGTTTCCTGCTGGGCAGCCTGCTTGGCCAGAGCCAGGGCGGCGTTCTCCAGGCCACGGTTCTCGGGTCCCTTGATGAAGACGACGCGGAGGGCCTTGTTCAGGGCGGAGGAGACCTGGTCGGAGGCAGCGGGATCGTAGAAGTCACCTTCGTCGGCGGTGTAGGTGTAGAACTCCTTCTGGAGCTCAGCCTGAGGAGCAGCGTAGTTGGGGGCTGAGACGGATTGTTCTCCAACTGGTGCAGAGAAATCAGAAATGGGCTCAGCAATAGATCCTCCAGGAGCAGCGGCGAATGAGGGGGCATCGCTGCTTCCCGCTCCCGAGGGCTGGAAACTCAGTCCGGAGGCTGAGTGGGCCACTGGCTGGTAGTTGTAGCCCAACTTATCTGCCGAGGCAAGAGCCGCCAGGCAAAGGACTGCAAGGACTGCGGAGAACTGACGCATGTTGAGTTGGTTGGCTGTTTTCGGAATGTGATGCTGGTGGCTGATGATTCTTAGGCTTTTATGCAGATGGATATGCTAAGAGAGCTGCATAAAGTCGGATAATTATGGCCATCTAGAGCGTTCTTCTTCGTTCGGTAAAATATGCAAGCGAGTGCACCGCCGCCTCTAGTTCCGACTGATTCGCTCAGAAGGAAGAGAAGTCCATCTCAAAGTTGCTGCCATAAAACTCGTATTAAAATCAATGTGCTGGCGGAATCAATAATGCGCGTTATTCGCAGACCAACCTTGCCGATATGGAATTTTCATGTATCTTTATCGTTAAAATCAATAAAACTCTAGCTATAAAAAGAGTGTAAACCCCATTCAAAGCAATTTGGTCGGCCGTTTCTCATGGATATGGATGCGTATCCATCGTCAAACCCGCATCCAAATCCGGACGGGATGAAAAGTGTCACCCAAAATCGGTCGGAGAGCAAACAAAACGTTTGACAGGCTGTTTCACATGCAAATGAGGCGCGCCTAGCCGCGATATTGCTGCCAAAAATAAATATTTTAACGATTCGCGAAATTATTATTGCCTTATTCAGCAGCTTTGTTTTTTTTTCGTCTTTCGTCTTGGTCGCTTTGATTTCTGCTTTATGCAAATGTTGCGGGTGGAGGCGGCCTTCCGCAGTCCGATGTCCGTCCGGGTCCGTCCACCGGAAGTGAGGCGGTGGCGGCGTCGGCGGACTCATCGCTAAATATAGCTGCCATCTTTTAAGCTGCGATTTGGCTAGGCCGCCGGCCAGCTAATTAACAACTGCACTGAAGCGGCTTGTCAGCGCCAAATCAGATAATTCGATAATTGGGCTCCTAATAAATTACTTGGCGCCATCTGATTTGGCAATCCGAATCACGACTCCGCACCCGAATCTTACTTCCAAGCTTTGAGCCAGCCGATTCTGGTCTTCGTCTAATTTGCATTGGGCTCCTCGCCGAGCAGAAATAAATCCAAAATAAAACACAAAACATGATTTTATGTTCAGAGCCATGCAAATATTTGCAACAGCAGCGGCAGAGGCAGCGCCAGCGTGACGAATCATAAAAATATAATAATAAAGCAACCGCATTTTAATCGGTTATTTATGCATTTTTAAGGCAAATGTGAACTCTTCATAATTCATTCCCAATCATAATGCAGTGTTTGGCCAATTTGGCGAAGAACTGAATCTTGCACCTATAAAAGCCAAGTCAGCGGAGAGTTAAGGCAGTAACAAATCATCTTTTCAAACCAACAAGTCACCATGCGCTCCTTTATCGTCCTATGCCTGATTGCCGTGGCTGCCGCGGATAAGCTCGGCTACAACTACCAGCCGGTGGCCCACTCCGCCTCCGGACTGAGTTTCCAGCCCTCGGGAGCGGGAAGCAGCGTTGCTCCCTCATTCGCCGCTGCTCCTGGCGGATCTATTGCTGCACCCATTTCGGATTTCGCCGGTCCCATTGGAGAACAATCCGTCGCTGCCCCTAACTACGCTGCTCCCCAGGCTGAGCTCCAGAAGGAGTTCTACACCTACACCGCCGACGAAGGTGACTTCTACGATCCCGCTGCCTCCGACCAGGTCTCCTCCGCCCTGAACAAGGCCCTGCGCGTCGTCTTCATCAAGGGACCCGAAAACCGTGGCCTGGAGAACGCCGCCCTGGCTCTGGCCAAGCAGGCTGCCCAGCAGGAGACCGCCATCTATGTCCTCAACAAGCAGGCCGACATCGGAGATCTGGCCAACAAGCTGAACGCCATCCGCAACAACAACAACAACAAGCCCGAGGTTCACTTCGTCAAGTACCGCACTCCCGAGGACGCCGCCAATGCCCAGCGCGCCATCCAGTCTCAGTACGACCAGCTCGGAGGATCTTCCCAGTCCCACGACGGTGGTGTGGCCTCCTCTCTGAACTTTGCTTCCCAGTCGGCTCCCGCCCCTGCTCCAGCTGCCAGCGCCCCAGGACCCAGCTACTTGCCCGCCAACATCTTCCGTCGCCTTCGGCTCTAAACAGGAAAAGCCAGTTGCCCGATTTGTTGTCTAGTTTTCATGTTTTCTTAATAATAAACAAAATTTTAAAACGAACTCTAAGTGGTTTTTCTGTATCATTGTTGTTCAGCATATAAAAAAGTCTTTAAATAAACGAAGTTATTAGACATTTCGAGACAGAACTTTTTGAAAATATGCATTTATTTGTGTGTCATGATTTAAAAACGGAAATAGATATTTAAAATTTAAAACGAAATCGCTTAAACGGTTAACTTATTAATTTCTTTATAATAACATAGTGTATTTTAATATAATGTCTTTTGGTTTACATACCATTTAAGGTATATTAGTAAAACAATATGGTAGAGGTAATTTGGTTATAAACAGTTAAATCTATTTTCACATTAAGCTACATTTTGGGAAAGTGTTTTCATATTTCTGACTAAGGTTAAGAGGATATCTATTCCAACAATCCATAATGAATATGTGCCATATCTAGTCAATATTAATATTTTTATGATCAATAATGAAAATGGGAGCTATTTCCCCAGTATCATTCGTTTAGGGTCATTACCCTAGGAAATCTAGCAATCCTTCGCTATCCAAGCTTATAAAACATAACGTTTTAGTTATAGTCTATTTAAAATAAATAAATAATCCTTTTGACACCATCATTAACACATTCAATGTCAAACTGGCGCGATCAAATGTCGTAGCCTCTTATATAGAGAGTGATCTTGGAATTCCCAGGCTATGCTTAACCAGTTTCTCAAAAGTTCAAAGAGAACTTCCGACATTATTTTTGATCTTGAACCTTAAACTAAAAAGTTGCTTCGTATTCTAAACCCACTTTCGATGGCAGAGCTAAACAAACGACAAAATATTCATAAACTATCAATAGAACCAGCAGAGGAATATGCATACATTAGCGTTTTTATCGCTCGTAGGCGGAACTCCAAGAATGCATCACATTGTATTGGGCTTTAACGACCGTCAGAACATTTATGGTCGGCTCTTACTTTTATTTTCGAAACAAGTTCGATAGTTTTGCAGTTTCAGTTTTCCCCAGATGTCGAATTCCGGGCAGTTTAGGCCCGGTCAAGAATAGAACTCGGCGCCGTGAACCGGTCCAGAATAACGCGTCTGCAATTGGGCAGAAAGTCTGGGGTCGGCGGCTGAATGGGCGAGAATTGGCTAGAATGTTTGGAATTGGATAGTTTTGCATAATCATTTCATAAGCGCACCGCTTTGCATAAAAAACTAGTTGAGTTATGGAGCAACCCGTCGGGAATGGTTTCCCCCATTGTTCTAGTGCGTCTCTAATGGGTATAAAAGCGGATCGCAGAAGTTTCAGGATTCAGTCTTGGCCTTTGCCTGTTCAGCACACCCACAACTTCCAAACATCTCTTCTATCGCCATGCGTTTCCTTATCGCCTTCTGCCTGATTGGTGCCGCCTGCGCCCAATACAACTACGGTGCCGGTTTCAGCGGAGCCGCCTCCGACAATGTGCCCTCCATCTCCGGATTCGGAGGCTCTTCAGGAGCTGGTGACTACGATTCGGCTGCCAGCGCCCCTGTGAGCTACACGCCCTCCGGTGAGCTGAACAAGGAGTTCTACACCTTCGAGGCCGATGAGAGCCAGTTCGAGGATCCTCTGGCCAACCAGAAGATTGCCGGTGCCGTGAACAGGGGACTGCGTGTCGTCTTCATCAAGGGACCCGAGAACCGTGGCTTGGAGAACGCTGCCCTGGCCCTGGCCAAGCAGGCTGCCGAGCAGAAAACCGCCATCTATGTCCTCAACAAGCAGACCGACATCGGTGATCTGGCCAACAAGTTCAACGCCGTCCGCCAGAACGCCAACCAGCGTCCTGAGGTCCACTTCGTCAAGTACCGCACTCCCGAGGATGCTGCCAATGCCCAGCGCGCCATCCAGTCCCAGTACGACAACCTGGGCGGTACCAGCCAGAACATCAACGGAGGCGTGGCCAACGCCATCAACTTCGCTTCCGCCGGAGCAGCCCCTGCTCGTAGCAACAACTACTCCCCACCCGGAGCTGTGAGCAACTCCTACCTGCCCGCCAACATCCTGCGTCGCCTGCGCATCCGTTAAGGACTCAAGGATAGACACGAACTGACTGTTGTTTAATATGTTGTAGAGATTATATTTGAATAAAAACGAAATCAAGATTAACTCAAATTCCTTTACTTTTGGCGAGAAAAGTACAAAGAGTTCCTATTGGGAAAACCTGTTGATTGAAACCATTAATGGTTTTTAAACAAAATATTAAGTGAGGCAAACATTTCATCAGCTGAAACACAAAATGATAGTCTATACATTTTTGAAAGTAAGCCTGTATCGTTTAAAATTTCATAACATTGGGAAACTACGATTTAACCAAAACCACAACCATTTGGTTTTCCCATGCTTCGAGCTTTAACCGATGAATTTTAAAGACTTTCTAGCAAGCTTTTGCTTCGGAAAAATGAATCCAGTTTAAAAATATTTCGTATGATAAATTCCGTGCATCCTTAAAAAACAATACAATTATATGCCTACTATATTTAATATAGAGTCTATGAATATCCAGTGACATTGAGGAATGCCAGTTCGACCACAGACTAATGTACGAAAATCATAAATGATTCCACAACCAAATACTTGTCTGATCAGATCTATTTTCGATGTTTCTGGCCGCTTTATGATCGGTTATTGCATTTTTATGCTCATGTTTTTGCTTTTATCGCTTTTCCTTATAATAACATTTATGCAAAGCTGAATTGCTCGGCCCGTGAGCTCGAACAATGGCCGATCGCTGCTTACTTTGTAGGCGGAAAAAACATTTAGCCGTGCCATCGCTTTGTCTTCGAGAAGCTGCGCCGACAGCCTCGAAGTCCAATTCGTATAAATAATAACCACCGCCGCAGTCATAGGCAGAAGCAATTTGTGCTCCGATCCAAGAGAACCTCCAAACACTCAACCACAACTCAACATGCGCGCCTTCATCGTAAGTCATTCCCCAAATCAGGATCATAACAGGACAGCCCATGGATAACTAATTTCTTTTTTAGGTAATGTGCCTGGTGGCCGTCGCCTGCGCCGACAAACTTGGCTACAACTACCAGCCCGTGGCCCACTCCAGCTCGGGACTATCCTTCGCTCCTGGAAGCGGCTCCATTGGAGGTGGCTCCATTGGAGGAGGATCTCTGGGAGGTGGTTCCCTGGGAGGTGGCTCCCTGGGAGGTGGCCTCCTCGGAGGTGGCTCCCTGGGAGGCGGCTCTCTGGGAGGTGGCTCCCTGGGAGGTGGCTCCTTGGGAGGTGGCTCCCTGGGACTTGGCTCTCTGGGAGGTGGTTCCCTTGATGCCGGTCTTGGCAGCCTTGGAGGCAGCATCGGAGGTGGTGATGCCCTGAGCGCCCCCGTCTCCTACAACGCCCCCGCCCCCACTGGTGAACTTGAGAAGGAATTCTTCACCTTCAGCGCCAACGAGCAGGACTTCGATGAGCCCCAGCAGCTTGAGAAGGTCTCTTCCGCCCTGAACAAGGCCCTGCGCGTCGTCTTCATCAAGGGACCCGAGAACCGTGGCCTGGAGAACGCCGCTTTGGCTCTGGCCAAGCAGGCTGCCCAGCAGGAGACCGCCATCTACGTTCTGAACAAGCAGGCTGACATCGGTGATCTGGCCAGCAAGTTGAACGCCATCCGCAGCAACAACAACAACAAGCCCGAGGTTCACTTCGTCAAGTACCGCACCCAGGAGGATGCTGCCAACGCCCAGCGCGCCATCCAGTCCCAGTACGACCAGTTGGGAGGATCTTCTCAGGCTCATGACGGTGGCGTCGCCTCCGCCCTGAACTTTGCTTCCGCCGGACCCATCCAGAAGGCTAACGCCCAGATCCCCGAAAATGCATACTTGCCCACCTCGGTCTTCCGTCGTCGTTTGTAAAATGTTAGAAATGACATCGTGATAGCCTTATCCTTTTTGTTACAAATTTTATTGTTGAAAACTATTGATAAAAAATAAAACGAAAATATTAAATTTAAATTTTGTTAATATTATTTTTTTAACTTTAAATCGGTCTTCAGAAAATGCTCTTCATATGAAGATATAGAGTCTAGATTCTAAAACGTTTATGACTTGAGGAGCTTATGCATTTATTTTTTATACATCGAGTTCATACAATATATTTAAGTTTATCACAATATATCATTAGGAATGCATACTATTTGGATGTCTCTACTCCCAATATATACATTTAATATTTATTTTGGAATTTTTAAGAATTTATTACTTAATTACTATTTATATTATTTTAATACAATAGTTAAATAACATAGCCTATTACAATCGATATAACCAGAGCAGCTGGTATAACCTGGTTAATATTTTAGAATAGAAGAATACCTCATTAAATGTAAGCCTTTTTGGGAAATGTTTCATTAAAATCAAAATAAATGAATACATACTCTGTGTCAAAAATTTTTTGTTTTAGTCTGTGATATATCTATAAAACCTTAAAGCCGTATTTAAAAATAACTATAGTTTTTATAAATATAATACTCTCCACCAATGCTAACCACTATTTCTTTAAAACTTCATTCAAATTTTTATTTTATAATTATAATTACGTCAATATTTATAAAAAACAAAATGCTTTAAAGTTTAAACCAATAAAAATATCTTTACTAAATGAAACTAAAAAGAGAATCATCGAACCGAGGGCGGTATATCAAACACCTCATTAGATGATCCGCTAATTATAACGCTTGAATCATGTCCATAAATCAGAACTAAACAGATGTGTCGACAACGATTATGATAACAAAACGATTGTCATTTTGGCTTTCAGTGGAGCGGAAAAACCAAGTGCAGATGTCCTACATAAAACAAGCTCCTAGCCTTGCCGAAGAATTTGTGCAAGATATTTATTTTATATAATACCTAATTATGACCCATCTGAATGACAAACTCATTCCGGTGTGCTCGCGACATATTAATTTTAAAATTTAATATGAATTCTTGTAAAATATTGTATAAAACTCGAATATTTGAATAACCCACGACGACCAGCCGCCACTGCCCATTCAAAAGCAGCATCACCAACAAAAATTCCACGCCGAACATTAAAAAACCAAAGAAGCAAAAGCTTGGTAGGCGGCAAACAGAGTGGCATCAAAGCGATTTCCATGCAGCGCCCTCGCCGCGGCGGTATCTTTGTCTTTATCAGCCTCCAAGATGGATTTGTATAAATAATAAAGATCGCTCCCAGCCAGAGACAGAAGCAGTTCAAACTTCAGATCGAAAGAACCCAGTTAGCAGCTCAAGATGCGTGCCTTCATCGTAAGTGTTTCGTTTGCGGCCCAAGGATTATTCCCAGGATAACACATTTCTTTCTTACCTGGCTCCAGGTCCTGTGTTTCGTGGCAGTTGCCTGCGCCGATAAGCTCGGCTATAACTATCAGCCTGTTGGACACTCCAGCTCCGGACTGTCCTTTGCTCCAGGCAGTGGTGCATCTCTAGGAGGTGGCTCCCTTGGCGGAGGCTCTCTTGGAGGTGGCTCCCTGGGAGGTGGCTCTCTGGGAGGTGGCTCCCTGGGAGGTGGCTCTCTAGGAGGTGGCTCCCTGGGAGGTGGCTCTCTGGGAGGCGGCTCCTTGGGACTTGGCTCTCTGGGAGGTGGTTCCCTTGATGCCGGTCTGGGAGGTCTTGGTGGCAGCATCGGAGGAGGTGATGCCCTGAGCGCCCCCGTCTCCTACAACGCCCCCGCCCCCACTGGTGAGCTCGAGAAGGAATTCTTCACCTTCAGCGCCAACGAGCAGGACTTCGATGAGCCTCAAGAACTGGAACGCGTTGCTGGCTCCGTGAACAAGGGACTGCGCGTCGTCTTCATCAAGGGACCCGAGAACCGTGGCCTGGAGAACGCTGCCCTGGCACTGGCCAAGCAGGCTGCCCAGCAGGAGACCGCCATCTACGTTCTGAACAAGCAGTCCGACATCGGTGATCTGGCCAACAAGCTGAACGCCATCCGCAGCAACAACAACAACAAGCCCGAGGTGCACTTCGTCAAGTACCGCACCCCCGAGGATGCTGCTAACGCCCAGCGCGCCATCCAGTCTCAGTACGACCAGCTGGGAGGATCCTCCCAGGCTCATGATGGTGGTGTTGCCCCCGCTCTGAACTTCGCCTCCGCCGGACCCGTCCAGAAGGTCAACGCCCAGATCCCCGACAACGCCTACCTGCCCACCTCGGTCTTCCGCCGCCTCCGCTTTTAAGAAGGATATCGATTTGAACTAGCCTAAGAGAAACAGACTGAAGAATTCAATCTTCCTGTTACACGTTGTTGACTAATGCATAATTACGATAATAAATTTGAAACATATAAAACGAAAATCCAAACAATGGCTTCCTTTATACTCGCAAGTTTATTTTATAGAGTGGCATTTTTATTGCGGCTTTACCATAGAATTTAATGACCAACTTGTTTGTGTGCAGATGGTGTATAAATATATTCGAACAATGCCCTTCACACTATAAATAGCTAGAGGAAACGTTATCAAGATCAAGTGGAATAGGTGGAGAATCGATGCTGAGGGGATTCCTGAGCATCCGGAGCTGTCAATTCACTTTCTATACAAATCTTTGGACTAATTATGAGCCTGCCAAGCAAATTAATTGGCTACAAGATTAGATCCACCCACTAAGTTTCGGTTACCAGCTTGTGATTAATACTGATCCGGGGACTGGTTCTTTCCCGGTGACAGCTCAAAGTCGCTGAGCTGCCAACAACAGTTAGATGACCTGGTTTCCGAGGTGGCCCCGTCGTGTGTCACGTACAATTAGAAAGGAATCTCAAGTGCAACCCACATACGAAGACAAAGAAGATTTATGCCCAATCGAAACCTGATTAGCCATAAAAACAAAAATCTAATCATTAATTTTATTAAGCTGACGATCACTTTTTTGTTGAAATCATTAACAAATAAGCGGTTCTGTATACATATTCAAGCCCCAATATAACAAAACAATCGCAACAGTCGAGCTCTCGGTCTTCTGCATAAATTATAAGCCAATTATGGGTGAATCACGGCAATCGAAACCCAAGTCCAAGTCCACGTCTGAATCCAATCTCCGCTCGGAAAACGACTGGACTCGCACTCGGAGCTTAGACTCGAGCTCGGAATAGCCATCGGATGTGGCGGGCGGCGCGATTGAAGCTGCCCCTGCTCAAAACAATGTGTTAAATGTGTTAAGAGCGAAATTATGTTAGCAGATTAACAGCATTCCGAAACACGATGGCCAATAGCCACTGGCCATTCACGATTCGTGAGTGGAGATCGATGATCGGATCGAGGTATTCCGTTCGAACTTCGCAGCCAGAAGCGACGGGAACTCCGAGACGCTCGATTCGACGGCTCAATTCGACTAGATTTTCTAGTCTAATTTAAAGAGTCGACGCGTTGGCGGTATAAAAGCTAGGTAATGAAGATACAGTCAGCATTCTATTAGAACACTCCGTCAACGATGCGTGCACTCATTGTTTTATGTCTTGTGGCCGCCGCCACCGCCGGCCGACTGTCTTCCGGCTACAATTATGGCCAAGGGTCTACGGCCAGTATTGGTGGCACCAGTGGAGGATCTGTGTCTGGAGGTGTTGCAACCGGCGGACTGGCTGGTCCAGTCAGCTACAGTGCTGCTCCCCAGTCGCAGGTGCACAAGGAGTTCTACACCTTCTACGCCAACGACGCCGACTTTGAGGATCGCGATGCCCTGCAACGGGCTCTGGCCTCCGTAAAGAAGAGCGTCAGGGTGATCTTCATCAAGTCTCCGGAGAACCGTGGCTATGAGAACGCTGTCCTGGCTCTGGCCAAGCAAGCTGCTCAGCAGCAGACCGCCATCTACGTGCTCCACAAGCAGACCGACATCAACGAGCTGGCCCAGAAGTTCAACGCCGTCCGCCAGAATGCCAACCAGAAGCCAGAGGTGCACTTCGTCAAGTACCGCACTCCCGAGGATGCTGCCAACGCCCAGCGGGCCATCCAGTCCCAGTACGACCAGCTAGGCGGAACCAGCCAATCGATCAACGGAGGAGTGGCCAACGCCATCAACTTCGCCTCAAGAGGAGCTGCCCCAGCCCGGGCTGCCCCTCAAACTCAGACACCGGAAGCCAACTATCTGCCAGCCTCGATCCTCAGCCGTCTGCGACACTAAGGCTTTTTTAGCCATTTCGATTGTTGATTTTTTTCTTGAATAAAATGTTTAGTATTTTGTAATTTATAACTAACGTATTTTATTTCCTTTCACCGGTGACTTTATTATACCCTTGCAGACGGTATTATAATTTTTGTCAAAAGTGCGCAACGCAGTGAAGAACACATCTCTGACCCTATAAAGTATATATATTCTTAGTCTGGATCACTTCCTGAGTTCACATGAGTATGTCTGTTTCGTCTGTTATGTCTGTTTCGCGTTCTAAGCTAAAGTTTTAAAGCTTAAAAGTTAAATCAAAAGTTTTAAAATAATTGTTCGTAATGCCAAAGCCCATTTTCATCACAAATGGTGGGGATCATCACGAAAAATGGACAAAAAACCTAAAAAATATTTTGTCTCAGGGTTTTGATGCAGAATGGTGGGGAATGTATACAGAAATCGTTAAAAACACTCCGCTTGAGAATCGGATGAGAATTGGGGAAGATATAGCTATCACTGTGGGCCCTAAAGGGGAAAACTTCATTTTCAAGGGATCATCAGGAAAAATGGACAAAAAATCAAAAAAATATTTCGTCTCAGGATTTTGATGCAGAACGGTGGGGAATCGATACAGAAATCGTTTAAAACACTCCGCTTGAGAATCGGACGAGAATTGGGGAAGATATAGTCATCACTGTGGGCCCTATAAAGGAAAACCCCATTTTCATCACAAATGGTAATGAAAATCTAAAATCTAAAAAATATTTTGTCTCAGAATTTTGATGCAGAATGGTGGGGAATCAATACAGAAATCGTTTAAAACACTCCGCTTCAGAATCGGATGAGAATTGGGGAAGATATGGTCATCACTGTGGGCCCTATTGAGGAAAACCCCATTTTCATCACAAATGGTGGGGATCATCACGAAAAATGGACAAAAAATCTAAAAAATATTTTGTCTCAGGATTTTGATGCAGAATGGTGGGGAATCAATACAGAAATCGTTTAAAACACTCCGCTTCAGAATCGGATGAGAATTGGGGAAGATATGGTCATCACTGTGGGCCCTATTGAGGAAAACCCCATTTTCATCACAAATGGTGGGGATCATCACGAAAAATGGACAAAAAATCTAAAAAATATTTTGTCTCAGGATTTTGATGCAGAATGGTGGGGAATGTATACAGAAATCGTTAAAAACACTCCGCTTGAGAATCGGATGAGAATTGGGGAAGATATAGCTATCACTGTGGGCCCTAAAGGGGAAAACTTCATTTTCAAGGGATCATCAGGAAAAATGGACAAAAAATTAAAAAAATATTTCGTCTCAGGATTTTGATGCAGAATGGTGGGGAATCGATACAGAAATCGTTTAAAACACTCCGCTTGAGAATCGGATGAGAATTGGGGAAGATATAGCTATCACTGTGGGCCCTAAAGGGGAAAACTTCATTTTCAAGGGATCATCAGGAAAAATGGACAAAAAATCAAAAAAATATTTCGTCTCAGGATTTTGATGCAGAATGGTGGGGAATCGATACAGAAATCGTTTAAAACACTCCGCTTCAGAATCGGATGAGAATTGGGGAAGATATGGTCATCACTGTGGGCCCTATTGAGGAAAACCCCATTTTCATCACAAATGGTGGGGATCATCACGAAAAATGGACAAAAAATCTAAAAAATATTTTGTCTCAGGATTTTGATGCAGAATGGTGGGGAATCGATACAGAAATCGTTTAAAACACTCCGCTTGAGAATCGGATGAGAATTGGGGAAGATATAGTCATCACTGTGGGACCTATTGAGGAAAACTCCATTTTCAAGGGATTTGAAAATGATTTAATTTGATTCATTCTTATTTCTTGATTTTGACTAGCTAGTTTGTTCTTTAATCAGAAAACTAAAAATGCATTGAGTTGGTTTTATGTAAATTTAAAATTGAATTTATTTAGGCATTAGTCAACAATAACTATGATTTAAGATCAGTCAAAGATCGCTCCGTTTTTGAATCGGCTAGGAGTCAAATGAGCAACTTAGACGCGGCGGAAGACGGAGGAAGGCAGGTAGGAGTTGTCGGGGGACTGAGCAGCGGCCTGACGCACAGGGGCGGCAGAGGCGAAGTTCAGGACGGGGGCAACACCTCCGTTGGTGGCCTGAGAAGATCCTCCCAACTGGTCGTACTGGGACTGGATGGCGCGCTGGGCGTTGGCGGCATCCTCCTGGGTGCGGTACTTGACGAAGTGAACCTCGGGCTTGTTGTTGTTGTTGCTGCGGATGGCGTTCAACTTGCTGGCCAGATCACCGATGTCAGCCTGCTTGTTCAGAACGTAGATGGCGGTCTCCTGCTGGGCAGCCTGCTTGGCCAGAGCCAGGGCGGCGTTCTCCAGGCCACGGTTCTCGGGTCCCTTGATGAAGACGACGCGCAGGGCCTTGTTCAGGGCGGAAGAGACCTTCTCCAGCTGCTGGGGCTCATCGAAGTCCTGCTCGTTGGCGGTGAAGGTGAAGAACTCCTTCTCGAGCTCGGCGGCGGGGGCAGGGGCGCTGTAGGAGACGGGGGCGCTCAGGGCTTCACCACCTCCGATGCTGCCACCGCTAAGGCCGCCAAGACCGCCAAGACCTCCAAGACCTCCAAGACCACCAAGACCACCAAGACCAGCACCACTGCTGATGCTGCCTCCAAGGGAGCCTCCTCCGATGGAACCACCTCCAATGGAACCACCTCCGATGGAGCCACCTCCAATGGAGCCACCTCCGATGGAGCCTCCTCCGATGGAGCCACCTCCGATGGAACCACCACCGATGGAGCCGCTGCCAGGAGCGAAGGACAGGCCGGAGCTGGAGTGGCCCACGGGCTGGTAGTTGTAGCCGAGCTTATCGGCGCAGGCGACTGCCACCAAGCACATAACCTGGGAAAAGAGGAGGAGCGTTGTAATCCTGGGTTATCCTTTTGAAGCGAGCGGAGCTCTCGTTGTAGGCCGGAGATACTTACAATGAAGGCACGCATTTTGAATTTAGTTCTTTGACTTCGACCACTGAGTTGTGTCTGACGTTTGCATCACCAAAAGGTCCAATATTTATACGAAAACCAACGATCGGTGTCACTAGACTGCGCTCAAGTTCATGCAGAGTTACCACCGTTTGTTGTTGGTGGAACAGCGTCTTGGAGCATTTGTTAGTAACTTCTTCGGCGGCTTTTGTCTCTCGAAATGCTATCCACCTTCGAAAAAGACGATAAAACAATGGCGTCGCCGTCGCGAACAAAGCGCAATGCCATCTTGCCGCCCTATTCTTGCAAATGCTGCTGTCAACAATATGCAAATTCCCCAACCATCTCCATCGCCATCTACATCTGCTCAGCACCATCAGCGATACAAAAACAGTGTAGGGCCTTACAGCCCAAGAGGTAGTCGCATCGGAGTCGTCTTAAATTGTCATTCGATTGGACAGCAGGCTCTACCATCTCGATGAAACAGAAACAGAAAACTTGTTTAGCAAATGCCACTATAAATGGTCATGCTTTCAGTAAATGAAATGATTTTCTTCATATTTTGTATTTTGTATGCTAAAACATTTGGCGGAGCACCGACACTGCTCGAAACGGGTTCGAGATGAGGCCTGGGTTTTCTACACTTTTTAGTTTTTAGTTGGTCCAGTCGCATATTTCTAGCTGGGAATTCCCACCGATTATTTGGTCCCCTTTTGGCAGTTTGGTATTTCAGATTTTATTATTTGGAACTGGCTGCTATAGGGCTTGGCCATTCGATACTCCGGCCGAGCTTATCAAGTTACCCCGACCAGAGGTGGGGGAAACAATGGCTTTCAAATGGAAAGAAATCAATTTTCGCCACCCTTTTTTGCGCATCCATTCATTCATCCATCCATCTGTCCATCTATCGTGGCCATTTAACTTGTGGCAAAAACAAGGCTTAGCCAAATAGAAGCCATAAAGTTAACAACCGTTGCGACCTTGAGGCTTTTACTGTTGACCAGCACCCGAAGCTATTCGAAATTCGGCGGTAATCAGCTGGCGCCAGGCGACCATTTAATCTGATCAGCGATTATCACGTTTTTCATCATGGTTTATTGATATCATAAAAATTATTGTTTTTTTTTTCTATTTTTTGCCATATTGATGCTCGAGATGTGGGGGAGACGGGTGGCTGGGTGGAAGAAGCAGCAACAAATTCGCTGAAAACTGATTCGATTTGCATACTTAAAGAGCCCCAGCACAGAAATACCCAAGATCCATATTTAAGATAGCCAAACCGATTTGCAAATCAATAGTGGCGAATGCCAATCGCGGTTATGACTAAGATATTGATTGATATCACGGATAACTATAGCGCAGATGAGTAAGCCCCGCAGATTCGGTCATAGAGGAAATCTGACCCAATGGTGTCCACTTCCCATGATGTCACATCGCAGCCGGATGTCACATCGATACCTTTCGGTATCGACTTTCGTTCTTTTCATTTCCCACTCTGCCGGCGGAACGGAATCTCATCAAGATTCATACTCGAGGCAATAACCTAAAGTCAAAAACAATTTGTCTCGGCTTTGTATTCTCGACCCCACCCAACCCACTAGCCCACCAAGATTTCGATGATCGGCCAATGGCCAGCCCTCTGCCGCCGTCTCTGCCTATGCCTCTGCCTCAGCCAGCGTCCGTCGCTTGTGGCAATGTCATATGCAAACTAAACAAATGTAAACATAATAAAACAAACCAGCTACAATTTCAAGGTCTCGGGCGCCACACGCACATAAAAGATGCACGCAGCAGCGACATAAAAAATGGTCAATAGAAGATACACTCTCACACTGGCCGGAGGAAATAAAAATAAAAAGAAGAGTTTCCAGCCTAGACTCACAGATACAGAGATACAGCGGAGATACAGATACAAATAATAGCGGTCAGACTACGTTGGCGTATCAATAAATAAATAAAATGTGGCCCGCCGAAGAAACGCCGGGAGGGAGATTGTGGCGGCGCTTTATGCAAATTGCCTTTGGGGTCAATCGATCTATTTACAAAA